TCACCAGATCCATTTTCACCTATTATTGAGTCCTGCTGTATTTATTAGGGCTTCTCAGGTGGCGCTAGTGGTAAAGAACCTGCCTGCCAATGCAGGAGACATGAGAGATGTGAGTTTGATTCCTGAGTCAGGAAGATTCCCTGGAGGAGGCCATGGCAACCCACTCCAGTATTCTTGCTTGGAGAATCCCATGGACAGAGCAGCCTGGTGGGCTACAGTCTGTGGGGTCACAAAGAGTCGGACACGACTAAAGTGACTGAGCACACACGCACACATTGTATTTATTAAAACCTCAAATTATTAGCTCATAATAGTTTGAAAACACACTTCTGTGTGCCAGCTACAAGTGCCCCATACCTATGGTGAAATTCTGAGTGTCTACAAAATCCCTCGTAGTCCTGGTTCCATTGTGCCACCATGTCCACAGACAACTCTTTCTACTTTCCTTTTCCTCTTTGTCTCTTCCTATTCCTCTTTCTCTCTTTCCCTCTTTCCACTTTCTTCATCCAGCACTGTCATTGGCCTTGTCCCCAGATGTCCCGAGAGCCATCAGAATGACTCAGGGCTTCTCAAACCCCTCACAACTGACCTTTGGGGATGGGTAATTCTGTTGCAGGGAACTGCCCTGTGCGTTGTGGCATGTTTAGCAGCTTCCTTGACCTGTACTCAGTAGATTCTGGTACTTCCATGTCCCTAGTCATGACACACAGAAGTGTTCAAATTGCCCAACTGTCCCACCAGTTCAGTTGCTCAATCATGTCCAATTCTTTGCGACGCCATGGACTTTAGCATGCCAGGATTCCCTGTCCATCACCAACTCCCAGAGATTGTTCAAACTCACGTCCATAGTGTTGGTGATGCCATCTCATCCTCTGTCATCCCCTTCTCCTGCCTTCAATCTTTCCCAGCATCAGGGTTTTTTCCAATCAGTCAGTTCTTCCCATCAGGTGGCCAAAGTATTGGAGCTTCAGCTTCAACATCAGTCCTTCCAATGAATATTCAGAACTGATTTCCTTTATGATTAACTGGTTTGATCTCCTTGCAGTCCAAGGGACTCTCAAGAGTCTTCTCCAACACCACAATTCAAAAGCACCAATTCTTCAGTGCTCAGCTTTCTTTATGGTGCAATTCTTACATCCATACATGACTCCTGGAAAAACCATAGTTTTGACTAGACAGACCTTTGTCAGTAATGTCTCTGCTTTTTAATATGCTGTCTAGGTTGGTCACAGCTAGTCTTCCAAGAAGCAAGCATCTTTTAATTTCATGTCCCATATGAGGGACAAATCTCCCCCAGCTGACAATCACTAGGATGGTTGAATCTGCCTCTATTCCTTAGTAACCTTACAACTTGGAGTTAAGAAGAGATATAATGAAGTCCAGAGAGGGAGCAGAGAAGAAATCATTTCATAGTAGGAGGCCTCAAGATGAATCTTATTAAATAGGTAGACAAAGTTCAATTTCCCTGTGAATTCTAGCTTATCTGCCAAGCTCAGGAATACCCTGAATCTGCTAGCACAATGCATTTTGCTTATCAAGTTATAACTTAGCAGTTACAGGTTACGTGAGCTGCATTAGGATGGGCGGGGGGGGGGGGGTGGGGGTGGGGGTGGGGTGCGGGCTTTGTGTTTAGACCTCAGAGATGGTACAGGCAGGAATTTTCAGCAGGCTATAAATATCCAATAAATTCTTGTATAACTTGTAAGGCCTTGTTAGGTTAATATAAGGTGTCATTTTGAGGCTTAGGGCTTTGTTGTCATTTCACTATGAATTTGGGAAAGGAAGAAACCAAAGCACTTCATTGCTTCAGTGGCTAGGAACTGCCATCCAGCTCACTAATAAGGTGTCTCGGGGACTTCACACCTTTCCGAAGCCTGGTTTTCTCTTGAGTTTTTTTCTAGCCTTAGAAAACAGTCAGCTAAAATCCCAGCTGCAAGTTAGTGAGCCTACAGGAATTTTGCAAGTTTTCAAACTTACTGATGTTTATTCATTCCATGCAAGCTAATTCTCAAGTACATTTACTTCCATCTCATACATAAGAAAGCTCATTAGAAAGCATTTCAGGCTTTCTGCTATTCATCTTACAGGTCTTTCTCCTAGTCACTCGCTAATCTCACTGACCCAGACCAGAGACGCTGATATTACCAGTTTCTGCTTTAGGAAACAAAAGATCTAGTATTAAATTTCCTGCTAGTTGGTTTGGTCACTTTCTGGATAAAACGAATGGCACTCTAGCCCATGTATTTTATATGCACAGGAAAATATCAAAATCAATCTATGTCATCTCAGCCTCCCCTTAGCATTTGACATATTTCATCACTTCTTCCTTTTTTGAAATACATTTCAGTTTTGGCTTTCATGATACCATCTTCTCCTTGACTTCCAACTTTCCAGCCACTCATCTGTCTCCATGACTCTTATTGACTGACTGTTCCCTTAACCTTGTGTTCTTCTTGACCACTCACTAGACACATATGACACTGAGCTCTTTTCTTTACGCAAACTCTCCCTAAGTGCCTGATAGGTTCAATGAAGTAGCATTCCTTTGCTAACAACTCTCAAATTTCTGTGTTGAGGGATGAATTTTTCAATGAGCTTTGGAAGCCATACATCCAATTGTCTACTTACCAAAACCTCTTGCATCTAATAGGCAGATCAAAATTATTGCAGCTAAAAGAGAACTCTTCATTCACCATCCCTCCAACTCATTCCTACTCCTGTCTGTCTGGTGCTTGTAATCTCAGCCAAATGAGAAGGTTTTTATATCCCCCTACTCCTCGTCTCAAACAGCTTTCTGAAAATCTGCTTAGGAAATCTCCTCACCACCTTCTCCCTACTCTCCAGCCATGTTAGTTCAAACATCATTTCCCTCAGTTAAACTACCTATTTAATGAGCAGATTCTGGGCATCCCTAGACAACCTTATTCCAGCCTTCTCTTACTACCCAAACGGCCCCTGCTTCTTATAACTCTTCAAGGAAGTATGTGGTGCAAAGTTAACACTCTGACACTCATCATTGATCGCTGAATTGGTCATCCTACCTGGTCAGTACACAAACTTTTGGAAGTGACATTTATAATGCAGCAGTTTTGACACCAGGGTTTGACCTGACTGCAAACAAACAACAAAAGCAGAAAGATTTTGATACAGATAAGTATCATTACTTATCATAGATAAGTACCATTAATCCTTCTGCAGGTTGTTATGAACAAATAATCAATAATATAAATGTCCTTATCATATTCTAGAGTCTCAACCATCCTCTGCTATCTGCAGACTTGTACAAACACGGCATAAAGAAAACATGGTACAAAATATCCATATATCAAAACTCTCATGCCAAAATGACTACGTTGAATAAGTCAGGATAATAAATAAATGCATCATAAAACTATTTAGAAGAAATGTTTGATATGGTTTGATAAATCTGAAAAGATTTAAAATACCATGTATAACAATTAAAAATTCTTAAAAGAGACTTGAAATCTTATGGCTAGCAGTGCCAATCCTTAAAGGGTAGAAATCAGCTCTAGTCTAGTCTTTAAAAACACTTAAAAAAACAAAATGATATCTAGGTATTGGCTCTAGGTAAACATGCAAATAATGGATACAAGAAAGGTTGTGCTCTATCTAAAAAATACAGTGAAATTTGCCTTCTAAGGGTTGGTGTAAAAAAAAACAAAACAAACAGTCCAGAAGTAGAATTTATTTTCTCATAGTAAACACATCTAAGTGAATTTTTGTCCTTTCTATTGAAGCCAGATGGAGGGCAGGATTCTGGGATAGTGGGGTACTTTCTCTGAGAAATAAACATACAAACAAACAAGACCACCAGGGCCACTTCTGTCATCCAGCCTCGGGATAATTAGGCTGCTTTGACTGAGGGCATAGCTATTGACCTACAGGGGAAAAAAGTTACCCGGACGCTACAAGGCACAGGGGTCTTTAAACTGTTTTTGCAAAATGATGCTTAACCAGCAGTTTCAGGGGTAGTATAATAGACACCAAAACCCAGAATGAGATGCTACCAGGAATTACGATTTAGACATTTTAAGTCCTTCTCCCACATGGAAGTATATAGGGTCTAGGAGAAGGGTGTCACTGGTGTGCTGTGACTTCCACACACCCTTCCCAGCTGGCAAGGGTACTGGGCTTCTCAGAGACAAGGGCTTTTATGGGACACCTGAGAGCACTTTGCACGCAGCCCTTACAATGTGGAGTGGTGCTGTGCGCTGGCATCTAAATCATGCCTGGGAAACCGAATGGGAAGAGGATGGCTTGCAGAGGCCTGTGGTGCAGAGCAGAGATGGGAAAGTGAGGGGGAAACTGCGCTCCCAGGGAATGTTGAGGCAAAGGTAGCTGAGAGTTTTCCCATGGACTGGGGGTGGGTTACTAGAGAGAGGCAGGCTGGGTTTATTGGATTCTGTCTATGAAACCAGGATGGGACAATCAGATTGCATTTTAGAAAGCTGGTTTGATGGTTGCGGAAGCACAGAATTTATTCTCTTGGTTGTGAACGAGAAACCCAAGTCCTGGTTGCTCCCGACAGCCATCGTGGACCAGGAAAACGTCTTGCTCAGGGGTGAAAATTCACAGAAAAGAGAACAGAGCAGAAAAACCAACAGAAAAATGGAGTTTGAACCGTGGTGAAATGGTACACAAAATTCACCCTGGATCTGAACTTTGTACTGACGTAAAGCAAAAGACTCCCCGCCAAGATAGTTTGAGTTGCATTTTCTAGTATTTGTCACTAAAAGCACTTCATTTTATAATCTCTAAAAGATCTCGGAGGAGAGCCACAGCCCAAATTTGTGCTAGACTAGAATTATCCATTTTGCAGGAAAAGGCACAAGAATCAAAATGCCAGCTTCAACTTGGCTCTTGGAGTGAATTCTATCCCTCAGGGAAGATGTGGAATCTAATTCAAATGAGACATTAATTGAAAACTGGACTTCTTTTGGCCAGAAGGTAAGAAACAAGGAGAGTCAATTATATGTTACCTGGTAATGAACTCTCTGGGAGCCAGAAGAAACTGACTGCAGGTCCTAATGAGAAAATGGAAAAAAAAAAAAATATCTTAAGATTATTTTGAACAAGCTGCTTCCACGACTACATCAACTAAATGCCCAATTTTATATTATTAGGCCCATCTGGAAAGCATCTTACTCTCCCCAATCCCTCAAGGTTAAACAATGAAGATAATGCCAAAAATAATAAAAGCACACTAAGTCGGACTGAGAGAAGAAAGGCCATTTAGCTACTGAAACTTAGAAATCTTAAACAGTGTTTAGAGGTGAGCAGTGTAATTTCAAGGATAGAGAGGACCAGAAGTAAAAGACAGGCGATTTTGTTGTAATTAATGGGGGTCATATTTAATTTGCACCTGCAGTTTGGCTTGTGAAATAAGCTGCTTAAGTTCCTTTAGGCACTTAGGAAGACTTTATTTATCTAAAACCAAAAACATACTGTCATGATAATTGTGTTTATACCAGTAAGTTGCTTGGCAAACAAGATTCTATAGACTGAAAAGAAAATCGCTGACCATCTCTGCATGATCACCAAGTGCAAATTAACAGGGCTGAAATTAATGAGGTTTTACAGGAAGATTCTGAGAGCCAGGCTCCCTGTATAAAGTTTTATAACTAAGTTGTTGCCGCTGTCATGTCCTGCAGGCTTCCATGTTAATGAGCACAGTGATTCTATTTACAGATCTCAGCAATCCTGGTACCTTTGTCCTCACACCTGCTTCCCACCGGCTTTATCAACTTACTGTCTAAGTCCAAGTTTAAAACTTTTCCTCTTTATCTGTGCTTGCTCTTAACTTTTTTTTTAAAATCCCACTTTTAGTTGTTGAATATTGGTGCAATGAGCCTAACCGTTAAGTTAATTTTCAACTAAGTCAATTCACCAGTCAAATATTTTGCTATTGCTTAGGATCTTAAGTTACCCAAGTATTTTATATATATATAAAAAAATGTTTGTTATCAATTATGACTTTTTTACTGCAGGTTTTTTTGAGGGAGGATCTACAACAAAAGAATATTATTTTGGAAAAAAAAAAAAAGAACAATGTACTATATGTTCTAGGATTGATTTGGACCTGAGTCACACACTAAGAAGTTTACAAACTTTAACATGCTCGAGCTATCTTTGGTAAAAGTAGCCAAATGAAGCCACAAGTATAAACCTGTTGACTTTTCTTCTCTCACCCTTATTAACAGTCACAGTTTGGCATCTATCTCAATATATTCTGCATTCCCAATTCCAACTCTATCCATAACAATGATGAAGAGAAAAATCAGTAATTATTACATTATTTTATGCCTCCTACTTGAGTTTATATCCACCAACAGAAACAGAATCTAATGTTCAAAGCTAAGGAGCTGCAAAATTCGAAGGGATTTTAAACACTATACATCTTCTTTATTTGCAATATTTACTTACGTATAATGTGTTGTCTGGAAGAGAGTTGCTCATGTTAGGGTATTTATCAAAATCACCCAACAGCTCTAAAAATAAAAATGCCTGGACCACATCCCCAAAAGTGATTCTAATGTACATCTTTCACCAGGAAACAAAGATGAAGAAGTGGCTATTTATGTGTGTGTGTGTGTGTGTGTGTGTTTGGTTGTTTTTTGCCATTTTCAGGATAAGATACTGAATACTCTCCCTTGAAGTTCTGTAAAAATGACCCACGACCACTGCAGTGATGGATCTGGGTCTCTGGGCTTTGCAGGTGCAGTTCAAGGGAATGTACCATGTAAGACTCCTCTTTCTCGTTCTCAGTGGTAAGACTGGATTGAGAAAAAAAATAATAGATTATTCCTTTGTGTTCTGACACAAATTCTTTTGAGATAGAAGTTTTTTTTTTTTTTTTCCCTGTAGAAGTTACATTAAAAAATAAACCTAGTTGTCTCTGACTGAAGTTTGTACTAGATGCAAAGCATCGCTAAGTCGCTTCAGTCGTGTCCGACTCTGTGAGACCCCATAGATGGCAGCCCACCAGGCTCCCCTGTCCCTGGGATTCTCCAGATAAGAACACTGGAGTGGGCTGCCATTTCCTTCTCCAATGATGAAAGTGTAAAGTGAAAGTGAAGTCGCTCAGTCATGTCTGACTCTTCGCGACCCCATGGACTAAGTAACCCCAAATCTCCCCCCTTTATTATTTATCATGCCCTTAGAAATTCTGTAGAGTTCAAAAAACACAGGTGAGCCGTCTGGCAAGACAAAGACTTCCAAGCAATACTTATGGATCACACTGGAGCAGCACTTATGGATGGGTTATGCTGTCATTAACCCATCAACCCTTTCCCATTCCAACCACCTGAGGAGGAGAAACAGCACTGGGGGTGGGGAGGGAGAAGACACCATGCATGCTTAAAAGATGAGAAAGATAAGGCCACCATTTTTCCATTCCTCCCCAAATGCCTCATTTTAGAAGTAAATAAAGATGGCTGGTAATCACTGACAAAAATGGAAAACTGAGCAGCATAAATAATTGACTAAAGAAACTCACCTCCTGCAGGCGATCTATGTACATACGGCAAGTCTCCAAATCACAGTCTCCACGCACAACTAGAATGCCCAGTGGAATGGCTGAGGGTGAAGGAAAGAGAAAATTCCAAAATAACATATCTGATTTTTCTATTTTGGCATAAGTGCATTTTTTACGGTTGAAAAAGACCTCTCATGAACATTATTGCTTTTTTGGATATTCCACTCTCTCCCGGCACCTCTCCTATGAGCTCAGTCTCTTTACTTACGCAGTTTTCACATTTTTTCCATGCATGGTCCATGCTGACCCTTGCCACCTGGCCAGCCTTCACTGCATTTTGTCTCAGTGGCCCTGACATGAAATATAATGTCATGGAAACTGTAGCCTGACGGCCAGAGGCTGTTCACAGCCAACTGATCGTTCACGCCTGCATTTGCAATAGCCAACGTACCAGAGAGGAATTAAAAAACCATGATTCTGGACATTACCCCTTTCCCTCTTAAATGCATGGGGCTTAATCTTTCTGTCACTTATTAGTTCCCTAATAAGAGACTCAAGCTACTCAAGGCACTGTTGCTACCTGGTAGCCAATACTAGAACTAAACAGGCAAGAAATACTTAAAAAAAAAACACACATGCTTCTAGAAGGTTCACAGCTATAAAATCCAGGTGATTTTAAAGATGGTCAGTGTAAATGTGGTAGCAGCAGGGGTTCAGAAATCAATGAGAAGAAGCTGTTAGGTGCTTTAAATATCTTTTCTAGGTGGTAGTAAATGTCACACAACGGTTTTAGTAGATAGAAACTCCTACTTTAGATATAGCCACAGGATGGTCTGAAATAATGTGAGTAGTCTCCTTCCCAAACCTTCAAAAAATGTATGGGTACATTTCTGATTTTATAAGTATAGTTATATTATTAAACCCATGATTTTAAAAACATTTCAAAATCTTGGATCAACCAACTAGAGATTAACAAGGAGATGATAGGACAATGGTGTCCACTAAAGATTTTCAAAAATCTTTCACTCACTGAATTTTTAAAGCCTCATCATTGATAAGTAGGTCTGAAATGCAAAGTGCTAGGACTTTAAAAATGAGTCATACAGACAATAAAATACATTTAAACTCATGGGAAAATCTTAACTCACAAAGTTGTAGAGAAGACACACATATGAAAAATAAATATGGAACATAGGCTATGGTAAATTATGAACTTAAGCCACTTGAAAACTAGGCGAGAGGGACTAATTCTTGCCTGGAGGGTAGACTTGAGGCTCTCTGAAAGATATGGAGCCCCATTGGTCTTTAAGAGAAGCAAGAGTGGTCTAGAGAAAAAAAAGATAGAATTTATTTCTCAACATTACCGCCTAGATTGGCTCCTTAGGAAGATCAGTACCACTGTCTCATACCTTTAGGTTCCCAAAGGGCTACACACATAAGCTGGAAGACATCCATCACCCTGTAGAGCTATGTAAGCCTATGAATCAGTACGGACTCTCTCACCACAGGAATAAGACTTATTTCCTTTACAACCCCAATATCTGGAAGATATTTAATAAAACGCTTTTTTTTTTAAAAAAAAGGCAGGGGCTGGAGGGAGGAGGAAGACAAGCTTAGAGCCTGTTCAAGTGTGAAAGAGAAAGTGTGTCTTTAAGAGCTAAGTGTGTACAGGATAGACAAAGAAGGAATTCGGGAGTGAGAGTAGACAGTGTACATTAGGTTGGAGCTTGCCTTTGCCTGTTCTTCCAGAAGCCAAGCAAGAGAACAGTAAGCAAGTAGGTGAGGAACCATGCAAATGTCACATGTTTGAGGGAACAATAATCTGGGGAAATACTTTTTCCTCTCTTTTTTAATTTGTATATAGTTAGAAATATCCAAAAAAGTCTTCAGTATGGCAATCATGCATCTTTGAAAGAAATGAAAGGGAAATTCAATAAAGAGATTCCTAAAAGTAGTGACTGAAGTAATTATCCTCAACTAGACTACTCAATAGGTTTGAATAAGGTGATCTAGTTAAGTAAGAGAAGAATAAGGATTTCTAATCTTTGACAAATGAGGAGGAAAACCTAGAATTTTGGCCTAGAAAGTAAATCACAGGTTGTGGAAACAGAATACAACTATAGTTACCATAAGAGTCCATATCTGAATCTTGTTTAATAATATTTTCTCTTAATTTCAAATGTGCAAATGCAGAGACATAAAATTCCATTAATATTTACCTATTTACTTAAATGAGGAGGCATGTTATATGGGAATTCAGGGATTTGGTCAATACCTCAGATCTTCTTCTTACTACCGATGCTTGGAGATATTCTGGTCATAAATTCAATATGCTTGGTAGCAGATACCTTAAACTACACTTAGAGATTGGATATTCTAGACCCAAAATGATGAATGTCTAGTAAAAAGTTTTCAAAGATGTGTCATTCATTTCTACTAAGAGTATAAAATCAGCAACTTTGCTGATTCCTCAAGAAGCTAATTAAGAGAAATTGTATTTGATTGATATTAGCTGTTCAATTGGGATTTAAAAAAGGAAAACGGCATCCTATATCACAATTTCATAGCATAATTACTGGCAACTGTCAAATTTATCCTGTGAAAGTACTACTATGCACTAGAAAGAATTTATGATCATTCTCTTTTGGATTCATAGCCCAGTGCTCTGGTCTTACAAATGACTCATGTTAGCTGTTTGGTCTTAAAACTTCCTTAATTCTTTTGATCCTTTGATCCTAGACAGCATATTAAAAAGCAGAGACATTACTTTGCCAACAAAGGTCTGTCTTGTCAAAGCTGTGGTTTTTCCAGTAGTCATGTATGGATGTGAGAGTTGGATTATAAAGAAAGCTGAGCAATGAAGAATTGATGTTTTTGAACTGTGGTGTTGGAGAAGACTCTTGAGAGTCCCTTGGACTGCAAGGAGATCCAACCAGTCCATCCCAAAGAAAATTAGTCTGAATATTCATTGGAAGGACTGATGCTGAAGTTGAAACTCCAATACTTTGGCCACCTGATGTGAAGAACTGACTCATTTGAAAAGACCCTGATGTTGGGAAAGACTGAAGGCGGGAGGAGAAGGGGACGACAGAGGATAAGATGGTTGGATGGCACCACCGACTTGATGGACATGAGTTTGAGTAAACTCCAGGAGTTGGTGATGGACAGGGAAGCCTGGTGTTCTGCCGTCCATGGGGTCACAAAGAGTCAGACATGACTGAGCGACTGAAGTGAACTGAACTTGATCCTTGGATTGAAGGCTATAGGATTTAGAATAGGTATCTTCTAGGATTTGGGGAAGATTAAATGCAATACTACATTTAAAAATGAATATTATCCAGAAGATCAATGTTATTCTCCCTCACTCCCTTTACTAACTTTTGAGCCTCTTGAGCTAGAAAATTGGATATGAACAAAAATCTATTTTTCAATGTATCATGCCACAAGGATTAGCTGGTAGTAATTCTGTAAGTTATATTCTGCTTATTTAAAATTAACTTCTACTCTTTGATGGAAAAGATAACTGTAGTACAAAAATACTGTAATCTGACACTTCTGTTTGAGGCTTTAAATGGTGAAGAGAAACCAGAAACTTGTGTAAAATTACCACCTTCCTTTTACACTGCTGACAACCAATTGCCAAACCTCAGTGAAGCTTCCTTCATTTTAATTGGGAGCAGTGAGAATACTTCTCACCCAAGCATTAGCATTACTATTCCTGATCTTGATGATTCATCTTATTTTAGTGTTAGAGATTTTATTTGACTGCAATAAGCATCAGCCAATACTCAACCTACATAATGGAACTTTTATTGCAGGGCTCAAATGGAATTTATAAGTTCTAACTAAGCAATAATGAAAAAGCTGATTTCTAGATTAAGAAGGCAGATTTAACACACTTACTTCTCTTGTGCCAGAAATGCTACTAAATTACAGCACATGCATTTTAAAAATGATATAAACCAACAAAAAGAAAGGAGAAACAGTGAGGAGAAAATGGCAATGGTTAAAGCACACAGAAAACTCCTAACTGACTCAGAGCACCTAGACAGTCTAATTCTAAACTATGTGTGGGAGTGGATAAGAACCACCACAATTTACACTGCAAAACTGTCAGAAGATGCGCTACCCAGAAACATCATTTGCAGTTAAAATAAGAATCACTGGACATTAAATCACTAGATTCTACCACCTACTCTTGGTTAGGCACAGCTACTTTATTGAAAATGGGGATTAACTAATCATCTACAGAATGCAGAGATACCCAACTTTTTTCTCTCACTCAACTTTCCAGAAAGCTGGTAGCCAGACCATATACTCTTAGAAAGAGACCTGAAGAGTCTTCTCTGGGGAATCCTCAGAGAGTTAAGAGAGAATATTCCCTCCATGAAATATAAATATGATTATATTAAAAGATGAAGAATATGAAGAAGAAAATAGATCATTGAATCAAAGAAAAAATAGGTCCTTGAAATTTGATAGAATGGAGTTTAATAGAAGGGTTAGAAGATGAAGGTGAAGAAATCTTTACAAAAGAAGAGAAGAAAGAAAAAGAAGTATAAGAAAATGTAAGGAAAATAAGACTGGCCCAGTGGTCCAACTTTCCAATAATAGGAGTTCCAAAAATCAGAAATAGAAGTAATTATCAGAAACAAACAAAAATCAAGACTATTTCTTAGAACTGAAGAACATCAGTTTCCAACTTGAACTGCCCAACATTCACAATAACTAAAGGACAACAGGAAGACATTTTACTTTGAAATTTAAGAATACTGGGAACAAAGAGAGGGGTCTACCAATTTCCAAAGAGGAAAAACTAGATGGCAAAGAAGATGGGGATTAGACAGTTTTAAATGTCTCAAAGGCAATTGCACAGTCACAGAAGCAAGGAAGCAATGGGTTCAGAATTCTAAGACTTTTACACATAATTCAAACTACCAAACAAGTTCAAGGATTAAATAAAGGACATCAGTTCAGTTCAGTTCAGTCACTCAGTCGTGTCTGACTCTTTGCAACCCCATGAATCGCAGCACACCAGGCCTCCCTCTCCACTACCAACTCCTGGAGCTTACCCAAACTCATGTCCATTGAGTTGGTGAGG